AACTCCATGTTGCCATCACAATCAGACAATAATTGTGTAATGTACCTATACGGAGATGTCCTCTGCTAACTACGTGCTACAAAGGACCTGTACATTCAGAGTGCAATTTCTCTATGTCTGTAGGTACTGTTGTGATGTTACTCTTAAAAGGCGTTTGCAGTTTCGTTTTCGACAGGTGTCACGTAGGTTACAATAGGTGTCACGTAGATAATTTAAGACTTAATTCTAGTGAAACTTCTTCATTGCATTTTGCCTTTCAATATAAACACATTGATTCTGTCAATGTGTAGACGTTTCGGCTTGTTTTTACCAGTGCGCGCGCTCTCTATCTCTCACTCTCTGTGTGTGCGCGCGCGTTTGTGTACGCGTGCACATGCGCGCGTGCGTGCCATCCTGCCTGCTTACCTGACTGTCTGTCTGTCTGTATGTCTGTCTATCTCTTCTCCCATCTCTTACCGTTTGTGTGGGGGAAAGGTGTGTGTGTATGTGCGCGCGCGCGCGTGTGTGTGTGTGTGTGTGTGGGGGGGGGGTGCATCTCTCGCGCGCGTTCTCGCACTCTCGCGGTCTTTATCCCCCTTTTCTCTTTTTCATGCGGACTCTGTCCGTCACACTTTCTTCCTATCTCTTTGTCGCCTCATCTCTCTATTGTCCGCGTTGATATTTTCGCACTCTTTCTCTCTCATCTTTCCTTTTCATGCGCATGCACTCTGTCTGTATTCTTTCGTTTACTCTCTGTCTTTCTGTTTTTCCTCCCCGCATTCTCTCCCGCGCCATTATGCATATGCCACGGCATATATCTTTGTCCTCGCCGCTGACGATGCGGCAGTCTCTCTAAGCAGGACGAACCGCTTCACAAGACGAAGCCCACGCTAGCCGTTCGTTGATGCTCATCTGGTGACAGTGCTGTCACACGTTGAGCCATATATTGTCACCGGAATACTTTAGGAGATCTTTGCGTTATCGTAGTAAACGAAGTGGCAAAAAGATCTACTACGCTTTGACCAGGAGGCCAAATCAGTCGAACGCTACGTGCAACAACAACAGTAGCCGAGCGCTAGCTAGGCGCGCTCACAGACACGGTTTAATTACCTAACATATTGGGAAAATAGTAAAGCCAAGTGCCCTGGGGGATGTTGTCAGAAATAGCATAGTGTTACGACGAAAATTGCATGGGACCGTTTCATTCATGTCAAGACATTGAAAGATTGTATGACCGCGATACCTATGCTTATTGTGCGTCTAGATATATGATATGTGGCATGTATATTGTATACAGGGTTGGTTATGGCTATATGTAAAATAGCCATGTGTGCAACAATATATAATGTGTTGCGCATACTAACAAATTTATTGTTATTATTGACAAAAGTCTCTACGTTATCTATCGATAATACTCGTATTCGTTATTTGTAATGCATGTATTGGTAAATATTTATTCTATAAAGCAATCTAGTAAGGGCTTCTCAACGCGCTGTATTTTAATTTCAATAACAAAAGAATTCGTTTGAAATATGAGCATGTGAAATACGTTTGAAATTATTTAGCTTAATTTCAACGCAAAAGTATATCTATCAAATTGAGAAGTTACACGAGCTGTTTCAACATTTTGGTTTTGCATTTTGCATCCTGTACTTGCATTGTGTGCTTATATATAGTGAGATCACAAAGAAAGCTATCTTAGCTATAGAAACTATTTGCTTACGTAATTAACCCAATCAAAACAGCATTAAAAATGCGAAAACTTTGCGTTTCTGCTACTGCGGTCTATTATTGTCATTAAGCTGGTATGATGAAATTAACTAAAAATAATATATGCTTATATTACGATAACATTTACATCAGCAGTCGTCTATTGTAACCAACCAGCTTCATCAAACATACTCGACTTTAATGCACACGGGTGGCAAAGCTAACGACGAGACAGCGGCAAGATTACCACGCTTCCTAGCTCATTGTTCCGTGATCTATGAACACTATTACTTGTTATATGTGCCGCCAAAGCTGTGTGCACTCACAGCACGCCTTCTGAGTATGTGTGGTCTTGTGTGGCACCACTCGGTAGCAAAAGCTGAGTGTACTGCGGCGGTGAACGCATATAACCTTTGTGCGCTCTGCTAAATCCGAGCGCATGCGAATTAAAATACGCGCAATCGGTTTATTATTATTTAAATTGCGCGTTTTTGCTGTGAATATCAAGGGCTCTCTCACACACACACACACGCACACACACACACACACACACACACACACACACACACACACACACACACACGCGCGCGCGCGCACACACACACACACTCCCCCCCCCCTCACACGCGCCT